CAACAAATAAATAAATAAATAAAAAGAAAACCAGCATAGCTTACGAACAAACTTATGGAAAACAAGGATTGACTATGGTGAAATGTCAAAGCTAAGAGAAAAAATAAAATAATATAATTTCATAGTTAATAATACAATTTTCCTTGAAAATTGGCTTTAGAATTATTATCAATAAAAGTTTTATTTGATAACCTATACATAGTGTCTACGTGAGCCGTGAGGGGAGAATGTAGGATCGCGAGCAAACAAGAGGTCATCACTCGGCTAATCGGGAAGAACTAGAAAACCCTAAATATACTAGTTTGCAAAGATATTTAGGTAAGGGATCGATTACATATAGAGAAGATATAATATCACCTGTAACTCCACGTGTCCGAAAGGAGACTAAAGTGCTACGACGACATCGAACATTCATAAAGCGTTAGATGCAACTACAATGCACGTAGCTAACGATGGGCTTAGTGCACTACGGCCATCTCTCATGTCACTACATGCATGATGAAGCTCTATAACTCGAAACTATATGAGGGACATGTTATGCATAGTGGAAAACATTTGGTTTGACAACCTACATAAAAGCTCATGTCCCGACCGGAGACTTTTCATCGATGTAAAAAATTACATTATCCTTAGAAATTTCATTAACGTAAAACTATATCTATGATAGCCTAAATCTATCGCGTATAGTAACAACTTACCGTCTTATGACTTCATAGTGCAAAAACTAAATTTTTAGTCATATAAACACTTTACATGAGATACCAAAAGATTCAAGGCAACAAAAACAAATGGACATGAGATTTGGGCAAAACACTTGTATTTTATCCATAAGCAACTTGTACATGCATCATATTGGCCATAAGGCTAGTTTACATTCTATATTTATAAGAAAAATGTGATACAACATATAAACATGAGCTAGAAACAACCTATAAGCTAAAACACGGATGAAAATATGCCTTTTGGCAAACCCCAAAAACGTCTAGCAAGCACCATGGCAACCTACTCACAAGTATTGTCGTGATCACCTATAACATAAAGACATGAGCTAACGCTTAGTAAAAGCAACCATGCATGAATTTATTAAACCTATTTTCCTAAAAAAATTCATTTTCCTCTTTCGAGCTTGTCCTATCAAATCTCTTATTCATCCTTTTTTTAAAACCTTGGTAAAAAACCCAAAAACTAGATAACATCTAGCCGAGGACCAACCCTTGGGTATACATACGATCATTCTCATGGGTACCTTTTTATGTTCATCCACATGACTTTTTTTTCTTGCTTGAATCATGAACCATGAAAACCAATGTTTATGTCATACCATGAACATATGTTTTCAATACTTATACATCCAAATATCGTCAATAATGCTAAGACAGGCATAAATATGCTAAAATAGCCTCTAAGTATCAAGACAATTCTTTCAAATACCACATTCAGTCTATTATAGTAAGCAATTTAGTTCATCAAGTAATACCAAGCAAGCAATTCAATTCATCGAGTAGATTCCATGCAAGCAATTCAATTCATCACAAACAAGAGAGGCTCTTGGCCAAAATAACAATAATTATCTAAGATATCATGCTAAGAGTTCTTTCAATTCAAGACATATTATAATTCATCAAGCTAACGTATTAAACATGTCCAATTTCACCTTAAGAAAATTAGAATTTAGAGTTAAATCAAGCAAAACAAGGCGGGCATAACATCACTATTTTGCTAGAATCTCAAGCTAAGCCAAACAATTTTGACATAATATCTTCAATCAATTCAAGCCATTCATTTGGCCACAAATTCACCCCAAGTTCATCTCATATTATTCTAGGGTTACATGGTAATTATAGGCCTAGTGATAAGTCTTAAGTCCTCATGCATCAAGATTTAACCCTTCCTATTCAACATATAAACAAAATGAAATCAAACTCAACCATGTCAAGAAATACCTAAGCCTAGGTTTTGTGGTGTAGTTGAGTGAGTTACACTTACTTGGTCTATAGATATGAGATAGAAAACACTTCAAAATACCATAAGAGACTCTCCTAACACTTGGTCCAGACCCTTAGCCAAAACTGACAAGCAACTTTCTCAACCCCAATAGCTCCCTTTCAAGCAAACTCTCCTCTTTCTCTTTTAGAATTTTCAAATGGTCAAAAGAATATAGTCATGGTCCCACCCTCTCTTTATATAGGATAGCCATGCAATAAGGAAATGCTTAAAAATTTTAGAAGATGACACCTCTTTAGCCAAGTCACCCATGTAACGCATAGTGGTAACAACCGGCTTTCCACTTACTCAAGGAGAAAGTAAGTCTCTCTCAAATATTCAATCCATGCGAGTCAAGGCCCTTAAATCAAGTAATAGTCATACTTAATATGTCATTGTGTGATTTCATGATAAGGGAACTAATATATCAAGGTGTATGGCTGGACATAAAATTCATCAACGAAAAACTAAAGCCATGACAATTAAAGTTTTTCTTAACATTAACTATCATATCTAGATGTAAAATTTTCATCAATAAGAAATGGCATGTTTAAATATAGTCTTTTTTGATATCGATCATCCTTCAAATGTAATTATTCCGCTAAGTAATTTAGGAATGCATAGTCATTGATGAAAATTGGCATATCATGACATAGCTGATTTTCGATCTTGGTAAGTTGGTTAGTTACCTCCTAGCTAATCGGCCATTTACCTACTTGCTATTTGGCTAATGGCATTTTAGTCAATAGGCTGGTGGCTTTTCGACCAATTGCTAGTGACCTCTCGATCGGTTTGCTAGTTATCTCTTGGGTAGTTAGTAAGTGGCCTCTCGACCCGGTTCTTGCTAGTGGCCTTTTAGTTAATTGGCCGGTTGCCTCCTAACTAGTTGCTCAACCGCCTCTTAGCTAGTGGCTTCTTGGGCGCTTAGCTCGTTCTTTCCGGCCGATTGACTAATTACTCCCCCTCTTCTTAAGCCTTAGGTCTTTTATGCATCACATTAGTATCCCTTAATGCCCTATAAGAACAACATATTATAGGATAAACATGGAAGGCCTAATATTCGTCAATCATAAACCGGCATGTCATAACATAGAAATTTTATGACAACGCAAACACATAACAAACATAAGTATATAACAAAAAGTAAATCACACACGAGAGGGGTGTGTGTGTGTGTGTGTGTGTGTGTGTGTGTGTGTGTGTTATGTTCGAAGGTATGGGTCGTTACATCATTATCATTACGTCTTACCCGAGATAGGTCGTATTAAATGCGTGTGAAAATAAAAATCTAGTTTTTTTCATTGTGTTATACTTCTATGCCTATTTAAACGAGTTCATTTTGTTAAGATATGAAAATAGAATAGTTTAGGCGTTCGAGCTAGTCTAAAGCCAATAACCTCGACTCAAAGGAGAAAGGTAGGGAAAGTTAAAAGTTCGACTAGGCTATAATGAACATGACCTATTACCGATAAATAGGTGAGTTTTTAAATATGGATAGCTTTTTTTTAGCATGAGGAGTGAGCCATTGATGACTTCTTTTACATGTGGGAAGCCACTAACGAATTCAAGTCGTGAATTTAGGAGGCTACCAATAACCTCATCACATAAATCAAAAGTTATTGGCCACCTTATTTGGCTTAAGCAACGAGTAGATAACTATTTTGGAAGCCACTAACGACTTCTTCATACAAATAGAAAGCCACCGACGACTTCATTTTAGACAAATAAACAACAAAATAAAATAATTTTAAAATCACTAACGACTTCATCACATAAGTGAAAAGCCATAAATGACTTCATTTTAATATTTCAAAGTTAAATAAAATTAGTTATAAAGCCACTAGCAGCTCTATTCATATAAGTAGAAAGCCACCGATGACTTTATTTCGAGCAAATAGAAAATATATAAAATGATTTCAAAACCACTCGGTGGTTTTATTTTATTAATTCAAAGTTAAATAAATTTATTTTAGGATCCACTCGATGACTCCATCCATATAAATAGAAAGTCATTAGCGAGCTTCATTTTAAGCAAACAAAAGAAAAACGAGATAAAATGATTTCGAAACCAATAGCGAGCTTCATCATATAAGTGGGAAGCCGACATTGCAATCAAGTATGATGGTTCAATCAAACCACTAAAAGATGACATAAACCCATATTTAAACTATAGGTATTTAAATAGGGTAATCATTTGTAATTGCAATTACAACAACATTCATTGCAAACAATATTTAAACCATGAATATAATAATAAAATGCTATAATTTCATTCAAATTTTGAGGGAGTACAAATTGTTGTAGGAGTTTTACCCAAAAATTTTTATAGTTCAAGTATCCAATTTGGAGGTCAATTCTCATCCTCAATGATAATCGATTATTTAGTTAGTCGAGAAAAGAGAATAACTACCCTTGACCAAAACATTGTATGAGTCATGTTAAAATGACTCGAAAGTCTCTCCAAAATTGATACGAGTAGTCAAAATTGCTACTACTACCGATGTTATTATAAATTTGCCAAAGTTGTTATAAACTTTACAATAACTCTAAAAATCTCCAACTTCTCCGAAAGTTGCCAAAGCCGCTACAACTTAAAAAAGGATGGAAACAAAGTTACTACTATATTTTTCTTATAAAAAACCAACAAAAATACAATCTATAACATCATATTGTTTATGCCAAACATAATCAATCAAATGACAATTTTTTTATGAAACGTTACTAGTTTTAAGCAAGGCAAAAGGCTACCTATTGCTAACTCAAGGATGCCCGACACATTAGAGACTTATTGGCTGCAAAAGAGGGGTTGTTAATATTGGCTAGAGGTTGCCTAGCACGAGGCTACTCGGCACTGCAGCTACTCGTGTAGGGGCATTGGCCTATTATGAGGGGTTGGCTCTGTTCGCTGTGAGGTAAGCTATTGGTTAGGCTTACAAGAGGGTTGTGGGGTGCTTATGAGGAAGGGTTGTGGTTACAAGGCAAGGCTATAAGGCGATTATGAGAGGGGTTTTGGCTACATGGTAAGGCTATCGAGTGCTTGTGAGAGGGTGGCTAGTCGTGAGGAGCTTATGATAGGGGCTATGGCTACAAGGCAAGGTCTGTATGGTGCCTTTGAGAAGGTGGCTGGTTGTGGGGCAAGAGAGGCTCGTTGTGGGGTTGTAGGGTGCTTGTAAGGAGGCATTAGGGCTACAAGGCAAGGCTTTAAGGTGTTTGTAAGAGAAGTTATGGTTGTAGGGTTCTTGTGAGAGGGTGGCTTACTATGGGGCGAGAGAGGGCTATTGTGGGGTTGTGGGTTACTTGTGAGAGGTAGAGCTTCGGGTGAGTAGGAGTTGGCCCGGTCTACTATGAGGGGTGCTAGCCTAGCATTCAAGAGGTGCCGCCCGGCATACTATGAGGGAGGTTGCCTAGTGCTAGTCATGTGATGAGGCGCTAGCTCGAGGCAAGACATACGAGGTAGATGCTACGAAGCTTGTGACAGGGGTTGGAATATAAGGCTGTAAGAAGGGGCTATTGGTTGTAAGAGGAGCTGTAAAGCTATGAGAATGGCTATAAGGCGAGGGTGTTTTGGGTGAAGGGCGAAGAGAGGAGATGGTGGTTTTGGGTGAAGTTTTTGGCGCGGTGAGAGGGAATCAATTGGGTGAAGGTTTTTGTGAAGGTGATCTTTAGTAGTTTATACCAAAAAATGGAAGGGAATGTTTATAAGGATTCTTAGTTTTTTTTTTTGACAAAAGTTCAATTTGGTCCTTAATTTCCTATAACCTATTAATTTATGTCCGATTTTGGTTGTTTGTTTCAATAGGACCTCTAAATCTCAATTAATTAGGACTTTTCTTTTTAATTTATTTTGATTATACCCCCTCTTTATTTTAATTAAAGGACATATGTTTTAATTTTTTTAATTGTACCCTTAATTGTCTTTTTTTTAAAACTCTCTCTCTCTTTTTTTTTTTTTTTTTTTTTTTTTTTTAAATTGGCTCCCTTCTAGAACTAATCTAAGCTAATTGTTTCAATTGATTTTTTTATCTTTTTCTTTTCTCTTTCTTTTCTTTTTAAACTTGGCATTTTTGTCTTTTTTTTTTTTTTTTTTTGTATTTTTGTAAAAAAAAATAAAAGTAAAAGTAAAAAATAATGAGTGCAAAAATTAGGTGTTAACACATGGAGAATTATATAATGTTTGTATTGACTACACTACAAATGATTTATCTTTTAACGGTATTTATTGACGATGACAATATATAAAGAATACAATTTGTTTTTCGGGAATTTTAAACTATTGAATAAAAGCATGCTTCAAGTTAGTGAATAAATTAAATTGGAAATGAGAAGTATATTTTAACAAAGTTTATGGTCAATGTCGACGAATCTAGAGATTGAAGATGCTCGAAGTTTTCATTGGAAAATATTTTTTTAGATTGATTTTATATTATTTAATAAATACATCTTATTAGTTATGTTAAGACCTTGGAATATCTTGTTATATTTGTTTTTGCCAAATGACTAATGATTTATATATGTAGCATTTTGTAGTACAAGTGGTGGACTTTGTTTGTGGACATGGTTACAGGATAAACTTTGTTTGGATTAAAAAATAAAAAAATTTGCTATGGTTAGTGCTAATTGATAGTTATTTTTTTTAGTTAAATGTTACTTGCATGAATGTTAAGTTATGGGTATTGAGTATTACGATCGGTTTGTCTTTGTATTTCTTTCAATAGTTTACTATTTATACTCATAGTTAGGTTCAATCATTGTAATTGTTTGCATTTTTTCTTTTGTAATATAACTACACAATTTTTTTAAGGATTCATGATTTATCAATAGCATGTGTGATGTAACTATAAAATTTATGCTTTTTATTGCAAAATTATCTTCATTACTAGAATTTGAACTCAAAAAGTCTACATGAATGGCTTGAATATTTTATGACCTATTATTGGTAGTGAATAACCATCTAATTGATTAATTTCAGGATCAACCAGAAATGATAAAAACTATATGTACATATCAACTTCAGTATGTATGTACCAATCTCATAGACAATGATAGTATATCTTAGCATACTAAACTAGCAGATGGTATATAATTGCTACAACAATAGTTTAAATATACCTATCGATCGTTTAAATTGCTAATTGCCTGCAATTTAATTCATAAATACCAAATATTTTTATATTTCTAACGGTATCTAGTCTGCAACGAAGCACAAGTTACAACCTAGTATAACCTAAAATGATTGAGCTTGGGTGGCTCGAAGAGTATGTTAGTTAATAAGTTAATTATGGACCCATTGACGGCAGTATGAACTCATCATGAGAATACTTCATTATTCATTTGTTGTGATAATACTTGAGGAATTTCATTTCTCTAAATGTATTTCATCGATATTAAAAATATTTTTTAAAATTATTTAAAGAAAAAAATAAACTTTAACTTACATAGAGAAATAAGATATTCTTATTTTTTAAATTAAAAAAAATGAATTATTTAAATTCGCATTCATGGGTAGGTGAAACTTAGATGATACATGAAAAAAGCTCAACAAACGATCCTAGCTAGTAAGTAACAAATTTGACTTCCCAATGTCATGGACAAGGACATTATGATAGCAAACATAAAGAAAGTTAGACGTCAAACCTACGTACGGTTGAAAAAAATAATAATAATAATAAGAAGATAGTGATTGATTTAAGTAACGATTAGTTGCAGGTTTGCGGTTGTGTGAATGGTCTGTCTATTTAGTTTTTACTAGCTAATTTGTTGCACTTGATGCATGCCTCAGCTATAGCTCGGATAGAATCAAATTATTTTAATTTGATATCTTATCTTATGTTAAATATTTTTTTAAATATATCAAACCAAATATATTAAAAAAAGATTAAATTTAATATTTTTAATTAAAATTTTATATTTAATTGATTATTTTTTATGTTTTTCATAAATTTTCAATTGAAGACAACATGATTAGTTATTTTGCATATATTGATTATTAAAAAAAAAAAACTACAACAATCTAAATAGAAAATTGAATTCAGAATTTTAAAAAAAATCTAAATATTTTTTTCCCATAAGGTTATATATAAAAAATAAAGCTACAATTCATATAAAAACTTATTTAAAAATTAACAAATAAAAAAATAATTTTTTTTCTTATTTAATGCTGATGAGAAGATTATATTTTGAAACAATGTATACTTGATTTATATATATATTCAATCATAAAATAATCAATAATATAGTATTGAAAGTTGTATTTCAATAATTTGATCATCATTTAAAAAATATATATTTTAATTATTTTATTCAAAAGAAAATAATTTTAAAATATCTAGACACACACACAAATTGTTGTTGGAAGACTTCTTATTATTATTTTTTTTTTTGAAAAAAAAATAGTAAACACATCATTAGGGACTGGATCAAATAAATTTGTAGTGTTTGTAGCCGATAAGGTTTTTTAATTTGACATGCTGTCTTTTTTTATTTTTCAGTGTTGAGGAATACAATTTTTTAAATATTCTCTTATATATTTAATAACACTAAAAAAAAATTGTAAATCTTATCAAATAATCTTTCTGAATTGATTTCAATATATATATATATATATATATATGCATTGAATGTGACAAGTGACCAGTGATTTTATATCAGTGAATTACTCGCCATACATAAGAGATTTATAAAATCATTATTAAGACTTTTCATATAATTTCTTTCTTGTATAACTGGTTAGAACAAAAATCATCTAATAAATTTTTTTAATGAATATGTTGGATGGGATAATTTTGTTTAAGAAAATTTTTGAACATTATTGCCACCCATCCACCACCTTCCAATTCAACCTTAACTTAATGTTTCAAATGTTAGAAATCGCTTGTTAAATCATCTGGTAAATGTGAAGTTCTTCAAATTCATAGCCTCACTAAAACCTTTACTCCTTTTTTTTTTTACATAAACTGGAAGAATTTTTTTAAAATTAAACTATATTAAGCAAAAGTGGTGAAGTTGAGGGCTATGATGTAATGGCCTAGCTCTGATCTCTAATTCATGAAGATAATTGAGGGATGACTGAGATGGCAAGGCGGATACAATACCTTGGCTGCTGGTTGCTAATTTAATCACGGTATACTAGTTTGCTACATGCTTTCCGCTGCGTATGCTGGGGATTGAACGGAAATAATTATTTTAATTTGATATTTCATGCTATCTTATGAATTTATTAAAATTTGTTAGTTATCCATACTATATTACGGATCAAATAAAAAAAATTATTTTGAAATTTTTTTATTTAATTAATTTATTTTTATTTTTTTCATAAATATTTTACTTAAAATAAATATGATTTATTCTTCTTTATGGATTGATTCTTAAATAAAAAATTATAATAATTTAAAATAAATATTAATAAAAAATAAAAAATACTTTAAAAATATATTTTTTATAAGAATGCATAAAAAAATAAAGATACAATTAACATATAAACTTTATAAAAATTAACTAATAAAAATATTATTATTTAATGCTTATGAGAAGATTAATTTTTTGAAATTATAAACATTTAATCTATATATATTTACTTACAAAATAATCAATAATTTTAGCATAAGAAAATTGTATTTGAATTATTGGTTGGTTTCTTTAAAAAAAAAATTGTTTTAATTATTCTATTTCAAGGAAATTGATTCTATATTGTTAAAAAAAAAAAAAAATTCAAAGCAAATAGTTGGTGTTATATGTGAAGATATATAATTAATTTTTACTAAAACCGTTGATTCAATAGTTTTTTTATATATATATATATATACATTTTGACAATATCTAGTAGATCGAGACAAATTATTTGAAATATATTTTTAAACTTTGAGATATATATATATATATGCAACTATCATTTAAAAATTCTAAGAAAAAACAACCATGTTTTAAAATTTTATTTTACAATTCAAATTTAGAGAAAACATTAATCATATTTATCAGTAAATAAAATTTTATACAAAAAATTATTAATTAGATGAGAATTTTCATAAAGAAAATTGAAAGAATAAATTTTAAATGGCAAGAATAATATAATCTAAAAGATATGTTAATTTTAATATATATATATATTACCCTCGCTATGCTACGTAAAAAACACAAATAATAGTGTTTGATATTCCATAATTTTTGCTTAAAAATCCTTAATTAAAAAAGAATTAGAAAAAGAAAAGAAAAAAAAAAAGAAGCAAGGACTAGGCCTGTATGCCTAGGCTTGGAGCAACTGGCCCATGCTTCTAGGCTTGGAGCCGGGTGGTTAGGCCTAGAGCAATTGACTCGTGCCCTTGGGCACAGGCGAGAAAAACAAAAATTTGACTTCTTTTTTTTTTTTCTAGCGACCCTCGTAATTTCTAACGAGTTTAATCTTGTCGAAAGAGTTGTCAAAAGATTGGGTTTTCAATTTCTAGCCTCCTACAACCAATTTCAACTTTGTTTTTAAAAAACAAAAAAAAAAATCAAAATCATAGAAATAACATTAGAAAAAAAACTTTTTGTTTTTTTAGAGAATCAAAACTCATTTTAATTCACACAAAAATTTAAATAAAAATTTCAAAATGTTTTTGAAGAGAGAAAGGCTTTTTTGGTGCCCAACCTTTGATTTTTTTTTTTATATATATTTTGGTTCCCATCCGTTG